TTTTTTTTTTTTTTTTTTTTTTTTTTTTGTTACTAGTTTGAATATATATTTTGAACATAGGGACATTTGAGCATGCTCTTGCTTTATGTGGTGCTTTGCACAATATTGTAACTCTCACTTACGTTTCAAGGTTTGGGAACGAGCAGAAGAGTTTATACCAGAAAGATTTGACTTGGATGGTCCCGTGCCCAACGAAAGCAATACAGATTTCAGGTACACATTCAATTTGTGTGTGGAAACTACACTGTTTTAATAGTACAAAAGGCACTTCCAGGCAGTCATAGTCTTCTTTGGTGTGAGTTGCTTGACCCCAAGTTTCTTATCCTCTTTAACGACGTGCTCATAGGCTCGAATGATGGCATTTTGAATGTCCAGGTGCAATAGACACTCCTTTAAAAAAGAAAAACAGTGGGTGGTACTTTTGATACTAGTGGCACTATAAGAACAGCATAGTAGTTAGATCACTTTCATTTTTTACTTGCATTTTAAATGATGCATGGTTTTGATCTGCCATCAGACCTAGCTACCTCATTATCCTTCCTAATTGATCGACCTGAATGACCAAACCATACAATACAGATTTATTCCGTTCAGTGGAGGACCCCGAAAGTGTGTTGGCGATCAATTCGCCCTGCTTGAAGCTATAGTTGCACTTGCCATTTTTCTGCAGCATATGAACTTCGAGCTGGTTCCAGATCAGACCATTGGGATGACTACTGGAGCAACTATACATACAACAAATGTAATGTTTACTATACTCATCCCTGCATTGCTACACTTTTTCCTACATTTTGAGCTCGGATCCCGAGTAGTACCTGTGATTTCTTCCGATTATTATTTCAACAATTGATTTTAGAATTGTGTTCTCAATATCCTTGGCTGTGCTATATAATTACTTATGAAACTATAACTAGATAATAAATATTTTTTTTGAGAATTGTCTTTTTTAGAACATAGATGAATTTATTTTATTTTCAAAACTCTGTAGACATCAATTGTGAATTATTGTATTGTTCTTTTCTTGTTGTTAATGTTTGAAAGATTATTTGTAATATTGATGATTTTTCCTTAGTAGAATAGCGGGTGAAATTGTAGAAAAATATGGTTTATATGAAAGATTGATACTTATAAGTGCTAATTGCAAATGCAGGGTTTGTACATGAAACTCAGCCAAAAGCAGATGACCCCAAGATTAGCTACCCCTGCTTCAAGGTAAATGTTGAAAATGTACATAATTTCACGTTAGGGAGTTGAGAGAAAAAAGATAGAATTACTTCTTTTAAATTCTGTGCTGATTCTTTTGTCTATAGACAATCACTTAATCATAGATACATATTGAAGAATCATTTGATCTAGATTCCTGTGGTAAAAAGATGCTTGAGAATGATATTATGATATAGCCCAACTCGCTTGATAGGATTTCTTGTTTGAATAAATCAACCAAAACAAACTCATACTCGCTTGAGTTGGGTGCTAGCCATTCATCAAAATTTATGAACATTCATATCAAACAGAAAAGGCCTACTCCCAAGGATAAGAACAGCCTTAAGTGGCCTCAACTTTTGTTGGGTGCATGTGGAAATGGGAGTAAAGACAGGCTAGAGATGAATATGGGCACATGTTGAAAAGAGAAAAGAAAGCTATAACAAAAGGGAAAGCAAGCCCAATCAGTTTAAAATAACTTCTTGAATGGGCTGTCCTAACCTGTAGATGGCCATGAAAACAAATTTTGAAGTTATAGATCTAATCGTCCAATCCCACTAGTAGATATTGTCTGCTTTCACCCGTTACGTATGGTCGTCAGTCTCATGGTTTTAAAATGCGTATGTTAGAGGAAAGTTTCCACACCCTTGTTAGGGGGAATGTTTCGTTCTCCTCTCCAACACATATGAGATCTCATGATCCACCCCCCTTTGGGGACCAACGTTCTCACTGGTGCACCGCTTGATGCCTGACTCTGATACTATTTGTAATCGTCTAAGCCCATTGTTACGTATCACCGTTAGCCTCACGGGTTTAAAACATGTCTATTTGGGAGAGGTTTCCACACCCTTATAAAAAATGTTTCATTCTTCTCTCCAACCGAGTGGGATCTCATAATCCATTCTCTTTGGAGGCCCAACATTCTTGCGGGCACACTATTCGGTGTCTAGCTATGATACCATTTGTAACAATCCAAGCCCACTGCTAAACTATATATTGTCTGCTTTGGCCTGTTATGTATCACTGTCAGTCTCACAGTTTTATAACGCGTCTGTTAGAGAGAGGTTTCCACACCCTTATAAAGAATGTTTCATTTCCCTCTCCAATCATGTGGGATCTCACAATAGATTACATAAAATTCTCCAAAAATATAAAAAAGAAGAAAAGATAAAACTAGTACACTAAGATGCAACTTAGCTTAGCATCAACGGAGATGAGTTGGTATAGTATCATGGGGTGTGGGGAAAAGGGGATACCAATGCCAAAAGCATATCCCTTGGAAGATGCTGAAAATTGCAGCCTTTTCTTGAACAACAAGTGGCCACAAACTCCCTTAGATAATTTCTTCCTTTTCTATTGCCTTGATAAACAAACCACATCCCTGATCATCAACCCCTCTCAAACTTGCACGAACCCCACCGCCCCTGATGGCGGTGGCCGGAGAAGGAAGTCAGGGTGGCTGCTGATGGCTTCTTTCCATGGCGATGCCTCTGCTGCTGCTGCAGGTCAGGTGAGAGCCTGAGAGGTGGGAGATTGAAAGGGCAACTAACATCCTTTGGCATACTTTTCCTAAACTTTCCTCTGAATCTTTTGATGAACATTTTTCTGGTGATGTTGGGATTCAGGAACCCCTCCGAACAGATCGACTCAGATTTTTCTCTTCGAAGTTCTCTTTAGATCGGGATAGAATGAAGAACAATGTATCCTTTTAGCAAATGTATTGAGTTTCTTTTATGCTCATTTTGAGGACAAATTTCTAAAGGGCTCCTAATTCTTTGATATTCATTTTTCTCATTACTCTTAAAAGAATGAAATTTCAGTATTTGAAAATGGAATATATCTTCAAGGTTATCACATCATGTCCAATATACAAAAAAAAATGAACATTCCCTAACTGATTTATAATATAAAGTTTGTAAAATTAAAATCTCAAATTATGCAAAAAAAAAAAAAAAAAAAAAAATTTTTGAAGGGNTGCATTTTTTGTTGGTATTATTTCTAAGTTTATGCAACATCGTTCAAAGGTTCATTATGGAGCAACAAAAAAAAAAAAAAAAAAAAAAAAAATCTTTGAAAGGTAAGAAAAACAATTTGTTTTTAACTTGTAAAAAATATTTTTAAACCTTTAAGTATATTAAAGATCTTTTTAGAAAATGAAATATAACCATTGATTAATTATAATTAAAAAAAATTCACAAATTAAATATGTCTACTTCTCCATTCAAAATTCTGAATATTTTTTCTTCTAAGAAATTTCCCCAACCCCAATTTCTGAAAACCTCAAAGATTTTCAAATCCTCTTAGGCAGAGCTGAAATGTGTTCATATGGGATTGTTCTCAACACTCATGAAGAAATGGAGCCAAAATACGCAGAGGGTTTGAAGAAGATGAAAAACAGAGTACGGTGCCATTGACAAATCAGATGAACATTCATGTTTAAAATGGCTGGATTCGCAGAAACCAAGCTCTGTTCTCTACGTATATTATGGGTGCATCAAAAAGGGCAATTCGAAATGGGAAGAATTCAGAGGAATTGGCGAAATGGGTATCTGAAACTGGATTTGAAAATCGAATTTAAGGAAGAGGGGTATTGATTTGGGGTTGGGCTCCCCAGATTTTGATACTATCGCACCCTTCCCTTGGAGGGTTCTTGACCCATTGTGGGGCTAGTGTGATGCTAGAAGGGGTGTGTTGTGGGCTGCCATTGTTGACTTGGCCTCTGTTTGCGGACCAGTTCATAAACGAGCAGCTGGCTCTGAAAGTGCTTGGGATTGGAGTGAGTGCAGGGGCGAAGTGGGCTTTGAATGAAGGTGGAGAGGAGAAGTTTGGGGTTCAGGTGAGGAGGTTAGAGGTTAAGGTGGCCATAGAGAAGGTAAGTCAGACTAATTGTAACTTCTCAAGTCTACTGATAGTAGATATTGTTTTCTCAACTAAGGAAACATTTTCACACCCTATATGTGTGTTTTGTTTTCTCTCCAACCAATGTAAGATATCACAATTCACCCTCTTTAGGGCCCAGTTTCCTCGCTGACATTCGTTCCTTTCTCCAATCGCAATATGGGACCGCCACTAAATCCATCCCCCTTCGGAACCTAGCGTCCTTACCGGTACACCGCCTCGTGTCTACTCCCTTCGGGGAATAGCCTCCTCGTTGGCACATCGCCCGATGTCTGGCTTTGATACTGTTTGTAACGGTCCAAAACCTACAGCCAGTAGATATTATTCTCTTTCGGCTTTCCCTTTCAACTTTCCCTCAAAACTTTAAAAAACATATGCTAGTGAAAGGTTTCCTCATTCTCCTCCCCAACCAATGTAGGATATCACAAACCAATATTTGGAGTATAATTAGGTATTATTATAGTGTAATTTTAATAATTTTATTTCATCATTTAAATTATTAAAAAAAAAAGTAAGTAAATTACATTTCTTGGTGGGACCCATCAAGGACAGAAAGTGATGCCATAATTGGCTCCGCCCGTGCAGGTGAACGTGCTAGTTTTATCATCGTAGGCGTAGCTATAAGCATCAGGGCACTCATTTTTGAATATCTTTGAATAATTCGTCGGCGGACAGGTTTGCGGCTGATCGTAGCCGCCGCTGCAGCAATATTCCGGCCGATTCAAACCCAAACAAGCACTTTTACAAGCAATCACACCGCCACCCTGCCCTTTAACGGCTAACTCCGGCGGACAAACCCCATTCACATTTCCCGCACAAATTACCGATTTGCATTCACTCGATCCGCCTATTGGCGTCACCGAAACCGGTAAGTTGAAGCCATCGACGAGGCTGATATCGAAGAAATCTCGGCCTCCGTTTGGTGCTATGGTGAATTCAAGCAGGCTTGCCGGCGGAATTGCGCCGGCGCCGTCGCAGGTGACTTGGCCACTGCCACAGTCGCCGGTTCCGCAAGAGAATTTCCCAGTTGCATCTGTGGAGCAATGAGTTCGAGCCCAAAACCTACCCGACCACGGCGGAGAAGTGGTCACCGTCAGTGTCGATCCGGGGAGTATTTCGAAGCCGGTGGTCGACAATTGGCTGCCAGCACCGGTTAAGGCTCCCGGCCAAATTGGAAACTTGCAATTGTTTTGAACCGCGAATTCTACTGTGTAAACTTCTGCAACATAATTATTGATTCCGTTAAACCCATCCCTATTTAACACAAGTATCATATTTAACATTTTATTGAATGAAGGCAAATATTAGATCTTTTTCAATAAAAGATATATCGACACGTAAGAGATCGCCAAATGTTCGGGGGTTCCGCTATTCAATCATTTTCCTCTTCTTATTGTCGTATATCTCGTTCATACGCATCTTCTCTTTGTTTCTCGAGCCTATAGTGAATTACAAATAGAGTTCGAAAAGGTCAAATATTTGATGACTCCATCATACATGATTGAGTTGCGAAAACTTTTGGATAAGTATCTCACACCTAAATTCTTACCGGTTAAATAATCTCTTTCTAATTGCTCTGAAACAATTAAGAGATTCTCACGAAAAAACATGGGATATGATTGGCTAATTCAGGGAATGATCCAGGGTTTATAAGTAAGGACTATATCTCTGTATCGGACTTTTCGAGAAGGCCAAAGTAAAGCCACGAGAGCTTATGCTCAAAGTGGACAATATCATATCATTGTGGAGAGTCATGTTCATCTAACATGATAAACGGTAATGAAAGGAATCAAAGCCAAACAAGAACGTGAAAGAACAAAAAAAAAAAAAAAAAGGGAATATTACCTGAGAAGGAGAAGAGGATGAATGAAAGTGTAAACAAATGGATTTGAATTGCCATTGAAGAAGGAATTTGTGTTTTTGTGTTGAACAGATTTTCTGAAATTTATATGGCCAATGCTTGGAATTAAAAAAGGAATGAAAATTAAGTGCAGATCATTCCGCAAATTCCATTCATTTACTCTCAACAATTAATACTCAAAGTTACCCAATTGTCTTAATTTTTTTTTAAAAATCTAAAAAATATCATTAATTTTTTATTAAAAAAATTAAACGGTAGTTTTTGAACATTTTTCTTAAAATTATATATATATATATGTTTAAAAATTCAAAAATAGTATTAAAACTTTTGAAAATTTTAAAATATTTGAGATAAATTTATAGGTATTTTTATTAATTTAAGGTCTTAAATATTAGGGAAGTTTCATGAATAACATTTAAAAATTGTGATTGAGCATATCATTTTATTGGGAAAAAAATCTACTCAATTTATATATTTTTTTAATGAAATTGTGTTAAGTATTTATTAATAGTTTTCTATAATTTGATTTTGTAATTTATGGATGATCTTGATTTAATGCTTCACGTAATTCTATAATCTTTTTCAATATAGAACAAAAAAAAAAGTTCTTAAACATAAATACATAAATAGAATTATAAAAAAAAAAATTATATAAAACGGCTAGTGCTTTGTTAATGATTAATTTTTTTTTTTTTAAATGCAACTTTCTATACAGCTTTTAACAAATATATTTTTCTGTCATTTTTTAAAAAAATAAAATTTTATAACCTTATATCTAAAAAAATATTCTTTATATAATTTAATTTTGAAAACTATAATTTAAAAAAAAAATGCAAAAATTTTCAAATTCTTCTATAAATTAATTTATATTTTAGTTATCAATCATTGTAGCATAATTTTAATTATTAACTAACATAAAAATAGTTATAAAAATTATTAATTAAAAAAATATATGTTTTAACTAGTTACATATCCTATCAAGTTTAGCCTGTAATAACAAAATTGTACAATTGCGTGCTCCTGTAATAGTAAGATCAAAATTGATAAGGATATCTTACTGGCTTTCCTCAATGTCAACTTTGTGTCGATTTTGGGTATGCGTATGGCCATTTTGAACCTCTCGAAGCTCGCAGCTGCAATAGAGTAAGAGCTTGAACGCGCTAGTCCATTGGCAGATACCAAATACATTGTGATCTTAGTGAGCTATATAATCTAACAATCTCTGTATCTTCCTGCAGAACTGCACCCATTCCATTCCACACAAAGTGCCAAGTAACAACTAGAAGTTAGCTTATACCCAATCAAGTGGGTCAGTGGATTTACTTGTTCTTCTTCTTTCTCTTTCCTTGTCTCATATCTGTTCTCGTCTCCAAACGCTTTGAATTCTGGGATCGAATTTCTTGCAACTTCAATTTAGCATCTAGAAATAGTGCGTCAGATCTCATGGAAAGTAGTTGCTGAAATGGACAAAAGAAATTATCCGACATTATAATAAATGATGATGGCTCATCACGGCAATCAATTGGAAAGGATTGTAAACTGAAATACAAACCTTGAGATGATCCATTGCTGCTAAGTTGAAACCAATGGTGTCTTTGCATTCCTAAGACATTAGAGATTCATCTTGTCAACGAAGCACATACAAACACATGCTAAATTGTATGGGCAATTAAATAGCATAGAAATTTAGGGATCAGAATTCTCACAATTGTTTGTAATAGCAACCACCACTAAAACCTAAATTTTAGGGTTTTAACATATCAAGGGAGGAAATTTGGCTCACGTGCATTTCAAGTCTTCTTCGGAGTGTTTACTCCCTTAAACTTTCAATTGTAATTGCACTCTTCTCACGATCAGCTCATTTTTTGTAATTTTTCTCTTCTTTCTTTATGGTCCCCAATGGATTGGGCCCGGTTTCTTTTTGTAATTTTACTCCCTTAATACCATTGCTTAAAATTGGATCTCATAGCAAGAAACAAAAAAGTGATTTTTCCTGACAAGGTAGGTCCTCTAGAATGAAGTGCAAACCGTAATAGAATATTTACCGACCATTAATCTGGAAATTCTAAATGAGGCCATAAGAATGAGAAAATTAGAGGGAAAGAACATGTATAAAACATTATAACTAATTGCAGAAGTACCTTGATTCTAGCATAAAGAATGTCTTTTAGAATAGTTAATGCAGGTCTTGCCGCAGGGGTGGTAACAAGTTGATTGTGGTGTGTCTGCAACAAAACTGTAGATATCCTGCAAATGAGCTCAACCTGCAGATAGCACGTAAATAAGCACGAATTAATATCAAGATCATTTGTAGAATAGTACCAACTACGCTGATAAAATTATAACTTGATGTGGCGCCCAGGTATGGTGATATCCCACAAGTAATCACACAAATGCCAGACTTTTATCATATTTAACAAATAAAATAAAATAAAAAATTATAATGAAGTCCAATTTATTATGCAAGGCTTTCCAGAAATCTCAAGTTTCATATTAGGTGGTGATGACCAAGAAACACAAGCTTCACAGAACGCAATCTAGAAGATTAGCAAAGACAGGTAACATGTATTTTTCTCTGCCAATGAGCAGAAAGATTATGCAAGCCATTAGATTTATGGGTGTGCAAAAGTCAGCTAATCTAAACAAACACAGCATTATTCATCATTAGAAGAAATAAAGTACATGGCGAAGATTATCCCAAGAATGTCTTCTATAGTAAACAAAAATGAAATCACACATAAGGGCGGTAAAAAATGAATATATATAAACACTTCAAGTAACACAGTGGAGTAACTCATTGAGTGTCTTTACTCTATGAGTATTAGTAATTTCGTCCATGCAATATCACCTCTCGTTCTTTCACCTTATCATTCGTACATTTCCTATAAAACCTTAAGATAATATATGAACATACCAAGAGCAGAAAAAAGAAGGTAATCAAAGGGCCTTTCAACAGATTTATGGAGATATTCTAAAAACCTCATTTTGATGATGATTAAAATCCAATTCTTACTGGATTCTACCAATCAAATGAAGTGAAAAGAAGAACGCATTAAGTACAAAAAGAATGTGTTAGAAGGACTGACTAACAGAACAGTATGTTATTGTCTATTAAAAAAACCAGGTATCAGTACATAATCAGACTAATCTAACTGCAGCTAGGTCTACCTTGTCGGGTTTGGATGTCCAATCTTTTAAGTAAGATAGTAGCTTCAGAGAATCTGAGAATGGTAAAGCCTGTAGAGAAACAAAATAGCAATGAGGCTTTCAATACTGAATACCTGAATTCAAGGTTGAAACTAGAAATTGCAACCACCGGGAGATGAACCATGAGGTACAAGCGCCAAGAAATATCAATCTCCGGTCCATTTTGGAAAACCATATAACGTGAAAAAGCAACTCAAAGAAATAAGCAAAAAAATATGCAATAACACATACACATTCTAGCTTAGCAGGAGCATATGCATAAGAGTATTTATATTACATAAATCACAGGTTTGAGAGTGGATATAAATCATCAGTATAATTTTAAGATGAGACAACAATGGAAATTTTAAGAGAAATGGCAATGCACTTCTTTCGTGAAGAACTAGCATGGAAAATTTGCATTAATGAAACTGAGCATATTTAGTTGATATCTTACCAGTAATGTCTGCTCTAAATCATTTGTGTGAACATTTGAAAGTGCACGAAGAACGTATTCAGATGGCGAGAGGCCAAGCATTAGAACATTTGGCTCAAAACGAGAAGCTCTCCCATTTATTTTCTCCTCCTAAATATGAAAGATTAAATCAAACTTGAATAAATTAAAAATGATGAAACTTGTTAAAAATTAACATACCTCATATTCAGATATACGTTTGATTTCTGCCTCTGCCATGTCTAGAGCATCAATAATCAAGTCTGTGGCCGAAATAGTCTCTTGAGTTTTTTTCCCGGCCAAAGCAACCGCACCCTCCTCTGGAACTTCTTCATTGGGCATATACCTATTCTCAAATGCATTGTCAAGGTCGGACTCAAACATTGCTTCCAATCGTTTTTCTTTCTCTTCCTGAAATTTAAAGGAAAATCTACCGATATAAGAATTGTCTGTTATTATTATAAGAGCATGCTGAGCAATGACATTAATTGAATATCAATGATACTCAAGAAGAAATAATTGACTGCACCTCTATGAAAAATGGTTCTTCCGTTCGATCCCAGCAACGTATGGATCGATCATGAGATCCAGTAACTATGAAATCACCACGGTTGCTGATAGCAAGACACCAAACATCAGCATGATGTCCCTCAAGTGTTAAAAGTAACTCAAATTTGTCAGCATCCCAATACTTTACAAGACGATCCTTTCCAACACTGAATACGTAGTGAGTTTTCTTTACAAATTGAACAGCCATGACACTGTAACCAGAAAACTGTAATCAGCAATCATTTGGCAACATTTTTAAACATTAAAGCATTTATGTTCAATGCATCACCTATCAGAATGGGCGAAAATAGACTTGTGACAGTCACCAAAGTCCAAACCCCAAATCTTCAAATTTTTATCCGCAGATCCAGTCACTAACAAATCTCCATCTGATGAGATATCCATACATAGCACAGGTAGCTTGTGACCATATAAAGTACGGAAAACTTTGAAGGTATCCATAAAGAAGACCTAAAATGGAGAGAACACGGGCATTCATTAAAAAGATTATCAACAAGCTTGAAGCAGTCAAGTAGAAATACCTTTAATTTTGTTTTATAAGAGTGTGGTAGATATACTAGTCAAGAATAAAAAAAACTGTTTCAGTGAAAATGAGGTAAAATATGACTTGGCTCATAATATAAATCCTACTGACTATAAATTCTTGTTAAGTGAGATACTTAACTCAAGGTCAAATAGTATAAGCTACTTAGGTACCCTACCAAAATATCCCAGCTCAAAGGGCAAAGGCAACCTTATTAGGGAAATCCAGATTACTACAAAATGAATGAGATTGCAGGCAGCACAAAGTCATTAACAGTACCACATGACAAAGGGTGACTTGACTTGTATTACTAGAAAATGAACAAAGCCTGGTGGG